GGCTGGGATGTGCTGAAGGTGCAGAGTGCACGTGGGCTCAGGGCCTGGTGTGGAAGGAGGAGCACGAAGAGCTAGTGGCTCTCTGTCAGTTACACCTGAAGACAACATTGTGGAGACAGTGGGTTGGATAAGATATATTATTGAAATTAATTGTACCTGCTTTTCTTTACTTTTTTAAGGTAGCTGCTAGAAAATTTAAAATGACCTAAGTAGCTTGCTTTTGTAGCTCATGTTGTATTTTTTACTGGATGGTGTGAGAGAGAGAGAGAGAGAGAGGAAGGATACCTGGCAGGGTTCTCACTCACAACGAGAGAGAGAGAGAGAGAGAGAGAGGGAGAGAGAGAGGGAGGGAGGGAGGGAGAGAGAGGGAGGATACCTGGCAGGGTTCTCACTCATGACCTGAGGGTGGGCGGGGAGAGGGGAGGGAGGGAGGGGTTACCTGAATGCAGGCACAGCAGAGGCCGGCATAAAGGACATGAGCATAAACAAAGGGATCTTGCAGCGATCATCCTAAAAGCATAAAAAAGGGAGGAAAAGGGTATTTAAACGCAATGACATTTTGAAAGGCTGTCCACATAACTTCCTAATAACCTATCTTCAGAGCTGCTCGGTAGGAATTAGAGCACTCCTTTCAGTGTTTAATGGGAAACTTAAACCTACTGGTAAGCCTTATATTGGAGAAGCAGTTTCAAAGTTTTAAGTGACATTTACCACTCGTGTGATGTATTAATTTGTGCAAATATTTATTAGGCACCTACTGTGTATGAATTGCAAACCCAGATCCCGGGAGATACATCAATAAGCAGAATAGACAAATTCCTTGCTTTTGAGGCACTGACTTCTATTTTAAAAACAATACTGATTAAAGGGGGAAAAAAATTAACTCTGTATACTTGGTATCCTGAATATAAATGTCAAGAGAATGAACTAGTCAGAAAAAAACTTTTCCATAAAATAATCAGAAAATCTTTGGGAAGACAATATAGTTTAATGGAAAATGTTATAGGCTTAGGAGCTACCAAGCCAAATCTAGGTCCAACCAGACTCCACGTTTTTACCAGCTGGATCAGCACAGAGCAAAGAGGCAGTGCCAAGGTCCGTTTCCTCCTCTGCATTTTTGGGAGGAACGAGACAGGCACACCACAGCACCCCATCCGTGGTGGCACTTAATAAGCCATAGCCATACCAATGTTATTGTGATTACACCATTAAAACAAAGAGTAGACCAGGCTCAATCAAAAACACTTAATAGAAAATATCCTCGGTTGATTGGGAGAATAAGCGATGGTGGACCCTAACAGAAAAAAAAATAACAATTTCCCCCAAAATACACTTGAAACAGAACCAGGGACAACATCGAAATTTGATCTGCACTTACTCTGCATTCAGTTGGAGTGGACCCACCCCTCCCCCACAACTCCCAATACAAAAAATGTTTACTTAATGTTACAAAAGTAGACTGCTAATTACCACTAATTCCACTCTGTCTGGATTATTGACTGTTTATTCATTTATAAAGAAGACCACAATGTTCTCAGAGCAACCGAGTGCAGAGAAGTTCTCTTGCCAGAATCATTTGAAATTAACTGAATTAATTAACTGCCTTCCTTGGGTCCCTAGATACCTGCAGGCCACACTGCTCATCCATCATCTCATCTAGTGTTCTATGGGCTTCTCTGTTATCGTCTGAGAATTTTGAGATAATGCTGGTTTCCCAGCCCAGTGTAATTATTTGAGCTTTTAAATGTACTAATAACTTCAGCAATTTAGATTATTTACCTTCCTGAACAGGTCACAGTTGCATTTCAGGGACACAATGAAGCTCAGAGACTTGACAGTCACAGAAATGAGGCTCAGAACAGCTAAGGGGTCAAGGTCACAAGCAGTTTTGGAAGAGCCCAAAAGTAAAATTCATCAAGAGAAGGATGGTTCATAAAACCTATGATCGTTCTATATTTAAACCAGGCTTTCTTTATAATCGGGAGTACATTTTCATCTCTAGCTCAGTCTTACTTCTATTTGTTTTGGAAATATGAACTTCCCTCAGAAGTAAAAAGTCAAGAAACAGGTTTCCTTCATCCAAATAGAAGTTATATGCATGGTTCTATTTGCAGACACAACTCAAACACTTCAGAAACCCATTTGCTTACAGTATGCCATCAAATGCCTAAAAGTGCCCACGAAACTTAGCCGCTATGGCATCATGTTTGCCAACTCTTCTTTCTCAATTCCCAGCTAATCAAACTAAATTCTCAAACGGTGTCACAGACCATTGAAGACAGAAAAACTGAGCACTCACCCCCAAATTTCCCTGAGTGCTGGGGATATGAAATGGGAAGACATAAGGCCTCCACCCTCGAGAAAGGCAAGAGGCCACTTCCCCTGCCAGGTGGGCAATGGCTCAGCATCCCCCCTTACACATGACCAACCAGGTCCTGCCAGGTAAGCGTGTTGGGCATTTTGGCTAATTCTGCACAAATGCAATCTTAATACACCCACCCACAGTGTGAGCAGTCTTACCTTGAAGACTTTCAGGTACTCAGGGAGCACAGAGGCAAACTTGTTAATGGTGTAAACTCTGGCTTCCTTATTATTTTCCATACTTCTGTGAATACTTTTCCAGAGAATCACAACGATTTCTAACAAACCGGCCATGGATGCAACATCGCTTACAGACAATGTTTTGTCCAGAACCTAAGATACAAACAATTTGATTGTGAAAGAATCAAATCATAACAACTATTATGACAACAGCTCTATCTTTAAAAGTACATTCCAGACCTGAAGAAGAAACATAAAGGGTATCAAGTCTATTTTCATTTCATGAAAATGATTTTATCTTCTATTTGAAAATCTCTAGTAGAGGGACGCCTGGGTGGCTCAGTCGGTTCAGCGGCTGCCTTTGGCCCGGGTCATGATCCCAGGGTCCTGGGATTGAGTCCGACATCGGGCTCCCTGCTCAGCAGGAAGCCTGCTTCTCCCTCTCTCTCCCTCTGCTTGTGCTCTGTCAAATACATAAAATCTTTA